ATATAAAATGAGAATTTTCGATTTTCGAAAATATTTGGCCGAAAATCGACTTTCTAATAGGCGAACATGATGTGAAAGGAGGTCGCTTCTTGGAATCGACTCGATTCTTGGAAATTTCGTCATTTCCGAGAAATGACGTAAATTCCAGGAATTCTCGAGAACTGAAATTTTCGAAGACCCTTTGGCTGAAAATCGACTTTCTAATAGGCGAACATGATGTGAAAGGAGGTCGCTTCTTGGAATCGACTCGATTCTTGGAAATTTCGTCATTTCCGAGAAATGACGTAAATTCCAGGAATTCTCGAGAACTGAAATTTTCGAAGACCCTTTGGCTGAAAATCGACTTTCTAATAGGCGAACATGATGTGAAAGGAGGTCGCTTCTTGGAATCGACTCGATTCTTGGAAATTTCGTCATTTCCGAGAAATGACGTAAATTCCAGGAATTCTCGAGAACTGAAATTTTCGAAGACCCTTTGGCTGAAAATCGACTTTCTAATAGGCGAACATGATGTGAAAGGAGGTCGCTTCTTGGAATCGACTCGATTCTTGGAAATTTCGTCATTTCCGAGAAATGACGTAAATTCCAGGAATTCTCGAGAACTGAAATTTTCGAAGACCCTTTGGCTGAAAATCGACTTTCTAATAGGCGAACATGATGTGAAAGGAGGTCGCTTCTTGGAATCGACTCGATTCTTGGAAATTTCGTCATTTCCGAGAAATGACGTAAATTCCAGGAATTCTCGAGGACTTGAGCACCGAACGAGTGTATTCGCGCGATTTTCGAAATTTTCGCCTAATTTCCGTAGTTCTCGCTAGAATTTCGGGATTTTTTCGATTTTTGCGATGAAAACGGATTCCTGGGGGTCTCTGGCATTGATTTATTCAATTTTGCAATGGAATATTGTTTAAACAATGGGTTTTTTGCAAAAGGAAAGGGATTTGGTGCGTAAGGGAGAAGTAAATAGACTGTCAAATGCTGTAAAACAATTCTGGTATATTGTAACCTTTTGTAATATACATTTTGGACATTAATTTAACAATAAATAATTGGTTTTTCCATAAATAATTTCATTTCTTCATTTTTGCTGATGTTCAAGCCTTTTCCATGATTTCTGTGGTGTCCAGTGATGATCATCTGTAATTCATATGAAATAACATTAATTTTTCTAATTGTTAATAAAAGTTATAAACAATTTCGGGCTAATATACTGAATACAATGGTTAATTCAATGTAAAAGTAGTATTTCAAAATGTTTTATTAAATTAAAACATACCATCACTTTATTTAAGACTTCCAATAGTTATAAACAACAAGGAAAATTGCTTTTTAACAGGAAATACTAATTATTTTATCATTAAAGTACTTGAAAATAAGCCAGAAAATGTATTTTACTATCTACATTACTAGTATTGCTAAAACAATTAAATATTCATTATAGGTATCAACTAAATATAATAAGGACGACGAGGAGAACAATAGTGAAGAGAAACAAGCAACTGAACAGCGGTAGACAAGGATAGACACTAGAGAAACGAGTTAGACAAGGAAAGAAATAGGTGTAGAGAAGAATAGCAATAATTAATGAGTTAGACAAGGAAATATATATGGATAGACAAGGACAGTATTCATTATAGGTATCAACTAAATATAATAAGGACGACGAGGAGAACAATAGTGAAGAGAAACTAGCAACTGAACAGCGGTAGACAAGGATAGACACTACAGAAACGAGTTAGACAAGGAAAGAAATAGGTATAGAGAAGAATAGCAATAATTAATGAGTTAGACAAGGAAAGATATATGGATAGACAAGGACAGAAAATTTTCATTGCGGAAGTAACGCCATCTCGCGTTTGGTGACGTGAACTACGATTTTTCAATAGGAACACAGGATATAAACAGAGGTATTAGACAAGGAAAGCACTATTGTGCGAGAAGGACAGAGATAAAACGTTTCCTATTGGTCAGCGGGCCGCCATACTGCACCTCTCAGGCCCCAAATAAATTCGGTCGGTGAAAAATCATTAATAACTCAATAATTACGATGATTTTGTGAACTTTTAGAATTGAAGAATGTAGTATAAACCTCCAGCAACTTTCTCATATGATTTTTACGGCTCTAGGTCCTTTCAATAATTAGTTATTAACAATTTTTCCGCGGAGTGTCGGGAACGGTACGACATGTCGGGACAGTCCTTTGCGGTTTTTCATTAATTTCGTACCTTTACTCGTATAATTTATGCACTTTCATACATTCATTTGAAAGTCTGTTCCTTTAGCTAGCTTCTCGTATAGTTTTTATTAACATTACGACTGTAGTTTACGAGGTATTAAACATTATATGCCAGCGTGCACCGCTCAGCGTATCCGAGTGAGTTCAACTGTTATAAACAATTGCTTATATTTCATAAACCGCATGACAAAAATTATTGCAGAATGTAAAGTAAAGTTCGTACTACATTCTTCAGTCTTAAAAGTATACAAATAATCACGCAATTCCATTAAATTCAATTAAATTGACAGAAGAGTGTTACGCTTGAATTCGACGAGTGTGACATTCTCCCGAATAATGTTTAATAACTCTGAAACTATGACGAATATGTTAATAAAAATTACATGGGAATGTAGTCAAAGATACTGCCTTTCAGATGAGTAGTGAAACTTGTACAGGAAATTGTTTCTAAACAATGAAATTAATGTAAAACCGTAAGTGTCTTTCGCGACATGTCGTGTCGTTCCCGACAACTCGCACAAGAAATGTTAATAACTAATTATTGAAGGAACTCAGAGCTTTCAAACCTATACGAGAAAGTTGCTAGAGGTTCATACTTCATTCTTCAATTCTAAAAGTTCACAGAATCATCCTAATTATTGAGTTATTAATGATTCTTCACCGACCCACTTGACTTGGGACCTGGAAGGTGGAGCATGGCGGCCCGTGGACCAATAGGAGACGTTTTCTCTCTGTCCTTCTCGCACACTAGTGCTTTCCTTGTCTAATACCTCTGTTTATATTCTGTTTTCTGAGTAACGAGTCGATAGTTCGCGCAGCCAAACACGAGATGGCGTTAGCTAATTTTTAAAAAATTCTTTATTGTTGTTTAACCCTAATCCCTTCCTTATCTATCTCGTTTCCGTAGTGCTATCTTTATCAACTCGTATTCCTTTCCTCCTGTGTTGTTAAATACCTCGACGAGTTACTCTTCGTAATAAGCACGACTAAATATATTGAATTGCGTGTGAAAAAGGAATGTTCACGATCTTTTGACAGCAGAAGAACTCGTCTATGTGATGAATCATCTACTGATAAACAATTACGTTACTCTCTTATTTGTAATTTCATAATTACGTTTAATTCTAATTCCACCCACTACTAATGTAATCTTATTATACGCTAAATCGATAACGTTGGGAGCAACACGAAAATGGTAAGGGTCTTCTCGGCCCCCGTGCCGTGGACACAAATTCCCATAAGATGTTAGATTTATCTTACACGCTGTCTGTAAATTACACGATACGCGTCTACAGATGACGCCATGTACGCGATTAACTTAGTCGGTATTCATTGGTTCGCTTCTCAGCTAAATTGTCTATCGGAGGAAATTATCAACGTTCGAGCTGCGTGGAATAATACCAGACTATTTATAACCGATCAAGTATAAATGAACTGAACGTTTTGTGCAGCTAAATATATATGATCACGTTCATTCAGCCTCTGGTAACGCATATAAATTCCAATAAGAGTGCGCAGGTACCGACCGAGGCAAAATCCTATCGTACCATCACGTTTGATGAATCACGGGACCAGCGAAGAAAATGATTACCGCGAAAATGTTCAACCCGCCTCACTATGCACCGAATTTGGCCCGATAAACACGCGTGCAAAAATACTGCCGTGAAACATTATACGCGAAGAATGTAATACCAATCGTCGAACCGTTAAATTTCCAGCCGAAAGAAGATTGCAGCGCGGTGCATACGTGCGATATTCTACGCCGGAAAACATGACAGGAGGAGCGGGGAAGAGGAGGGTGAGGAGGGCAATGTCCTAAGCGGCCGGGGAGTAGTTCTTAGAGCTTAATGAATGTGCGGCGTGATGGGCAGCAGCTTAACGAAAGTGATGCGATGGGAGGAAGTGGAAACCACCGGAGGCGGGTGGCGTCGTTTAAATTTGGAACGCCGCTCGTTCGGAAATAGACGTCTTTTCCTGCCTTACCTTGTGTACGCGATCCTTTGCTCTCTCTCTCCCGGTTTC